ATGGCCTTCTTTCCAACAGGAGATGTGCTGTCTTTGAGAAGATGTGTTGCCAAGTGGAGGAGTTATGGAAGGAAGTGAGCAGGCTTCACAGCATCAGAAAGGATGAAAGGGAAATAGACAGGATCTTCTTGGCAATGCCAACAGCTTGAAAAGTCCCAGAACCCAATTGCAGTGGAGACACAAGCAGTGTCCATCCCCAGTAAAACAGTAAGTGCAACCTCTGGAGAAGGCGAAGAATGGAAGCTGGTGACTTCTGGCACCAAAAAGAAGGCTCCTGCCTCACCTAAAGGCTTGCAGCTATGAAATAGGTTCACCACCCTCAAAGTTGAAGAGGTGCCAAATGTGCCTTCAAGCAAAGCATGTGGACCACCTGACCCTAAACCATGCAAGACCACCAGGACTACTACTGATAGTAGTGGGTGACTCCCTGCCGCTGGGGACAGAGGCACTCATCTGCTGACCTGACCTATTGTCAAGAGCAGTCTTGCTGCTTTCCAGGGGCCCAGATCTGGGGTGTTGTAGAGGGACTGCCACAGCTTGTCCAACCCCCTGCTGTTCTTCCATGTGGGCACCAATGATATTGCTGGGGCAACCTGGAGAGTATCAAAAGTGACTACAGAGCTCTGAGGGTGGTAGCCAAGGGCATGAGGGCCCTGGGTGGTATTCTTCTCAATCCTGCCAGTGAGGGGAAAGGCTGTGAGGAGGAAGAGGGCACCGATACCGCAGGTCAACAATTGGTTGCAGAGCTGGTGTCGGCAACAAGGTTTTGGGTTCTGTGACCATGGGACCCTGTTTGAGGATCACTATCTGCTTGGGAGGGATGCCTTCACTAAGCAGGGCAAAGGTATCTTTCCCTGCAGGATGGCTGACCTGGTAAGGAGGGCTTTAAACAAGGAATGATGGGGGAAGGAAAGAGTAACCAGCAGCCCTTAGGCAAGAATGATGGATAAGCCTCATGAGCAAAGGGCCTGGAGTGATATGACAGATGAGAATCACAGACTCAACAAAACGGGACTCAACAAAAGTGGGGTCACTGCCCGCAGTTGCATTTAAGCAAGGAAGTGCCTACAAGGCACCATTATGGAGAAATTCCCCAAAACTTTTTCTAGGGAGTCAACGTGCTGGAGTGCCTCTGTGAAGTGCATGTACACTAATGCACACAGCATGGGGAAAAACATAAGGAGTAAGCAATCTATGCAGTTGCAGGGCTACGATCTTGTTGGGATCACAGTGATGTGGTTGGATGGCTCCCATGACTGGAGCGTTGCAATGGAAGGATTACAGGCCCTTTTGGAAGGACAGGCCAGGAAGAAGAGGAGAGGGTGTTGCCTTTTATGTGAGAGAACAGCTGGAATGCATGGAGCTCTTCCTGGGGACGGATGATGAACTGACTGAGAGCTTATGGGTGAGGATTAAAGAGAGGACAGATAAGGGTGGCACTGTAGTCAGTGTCTGCTATAGGCTGTCTGACCAGTAAGAACAAATGGATGAGGACTTCTAGAGACAGCTAGAAGCAGCCTCATGTTTGCAGGCCCTGGTCCTCACGGGGATGTATTGGGTTTACGTGGCTAGGTTTTTGGTAGTGGGGTGGCTGCAGGGGTGGGTTCTGGGAGAAGACACCAGAAGCTGGCTCCATGTCTGACAGAGTCAGTTTCAGACGGCTCCAAGATGGACCTGCTGCTGGCCAAAGCTGAGCCAATCAACGATGTTGGTAGTGCCTCAGTGATAACATATTTAAGAAAGGGTAAAAAAATGCTGCTCAACAGCAGCTGGGAGAGAGGAGTAAGAATATGTAAGAGAAAACTCTGCAGACACCAAGGTCAGTGAAGAAGGGGGGGGGGGGGGGGGGGGAAGCAGTGGCGCCACACGAGA